TGGCTTGATGGTTTGGTAGAGTGTAACCTAGTAAAATGAGATGTCATGTGATCAGTAGCGCCAGTGTCAATAATCCATGATCTATTACAAGTAAGTAAAGATGTGCAAGAGATACCTGAGGTGGCTAAGGCCTTGGAGCCAGATGTACTTGATGGAGGTTCTGATGCAGTCTCCTCGAATGACTGAGCAGATGCAAATGAGGCTCTGGTCGAATCCTTTTTTAGCCCTTTGTGGACCCATCCTTCTGGATAACCAATGATCTCATGACAGCCCTTAATTGTGTGGTTATCTAAACCACATTTGGTACACTTCATTGAAGGCCAGTTACGAGTAGGGTCGACACTATAGTTGTTCGGCCGAGATTGTTTGGACCTCGCAGTAGCCAAGGCTGTGGCTTTGGAGGTTACACTAGCTTCAGACATGGTTCCCTGGCGGTTACTCTCTCTTTTAATATGTGCATATGCTACCTCAAGTTCGGGCTTTGGCTCCATCCGCAAAATCTCTCCTCGGATTTGATCGAAATTATTGTCCAAACCTGCAAGAAATATATAAACTCAAAGACGATCAACCTCTTTGCGTATAGTCTCAATGTCTTTCGGATGCTCCATGGTGCTTGGACTTAATTGATCAAGCTCCTGAAAATCTCAGTGAGCTCACTGTAATATTTGGCAACTGCTGCGCCAGCTTGCTTCATTATGAATAACCGTCTGTGAAGGTCATAAATCTTGGCTTCATCGGCACCATCTGAATAGATTTGCTTGATTGCAGCCCAGACTTGCTTTGCTGTGTCATAACGAATAAACTGTTTAATCTGATTAGGTGGCATGGCGTCGAACAACCAACTCTTGACTTGGCAATCCCATGCACACCATTTATTAAATGTGGGATCTGTGTCTGCAGGCTGGGCAATATCACCGGTCAAGTGGCCATGTTTTTCTTGCCCAGCTATCTTCATCTCTATGATTTGATGCCATAGAGAATAATTATTCTCATCTAGTTTGATTCCTGCGGAGAAGTTGGAGGTGTCACTCTTCAAAGTGACGATTTGTGTGGTAGTTTTGGAGCCTCCTGACACCAAGGATTGATTGGTGTTTGCTGACCCATCATCGTTGGCCATGATATTGGCTTACAAGTGATGAGAGAGAAGAAAAAAAATAGGCAAAAAGAAATCTGTAAACGTTACTCTGGGTAACTGATGAGAAAAGGACACAAAAAAAAAAATATTGGGTTGAAGGGAAACGGTGATTTGATTTGGTTTGTGAGATTTGAATATTTGTTGAATGACGTGACAAATTGGTGCTGGGTTGTGAGATGAAATATAGGCTGGTTTGACAAACTGATTTGACGAAGGGGGACAATAAGACAACCTGATCGAATATAGGCTGGTTTGCAATAAGAAATAGAGGTTGAGGGAAAAAGAAGGCAAGGGAACGGTTGAGTGATTTTCTGGTGCTGGGTTTGTTGACGGCTGCTGTTGCAGAAGCGATTGCTAGGGTTAGGTCAAGAGACAGTCATGATCGACTGCTTGATACCATATCAGATTGGGTAAAAATAATATTTCATTCATGTAGATATATAACAATAGAAAGGTTATATATACAGAGCCTAGGAAACTATTCTAGGAAAGTAATTATGTTCCTATATTCTTGTATAATCAAATAGTTGACTTAGACTAATTAGGAATGTACAGCTCATTGACACCAAGTCTCAAACCAAAAATGCGTTTTTCTTTTATTGTTGAATAATACCATAGGGTTTGAATTAGAAATCCTCAGCTGCCAGTTCCAGTCCATGTATCTGCTCCCTCAATTTTCTTTTAGCTTCACACACTATTGCATTTTCATGAGGTTTTAGTACTCTTGTTCACACTTCATTAGATTACTGAATTGACACTCTATTTAGTTGTCATCTGTTTATATGACTGTTTGCTTCTGCTTCTATTAATATTAATAAGATCATCTTTACTTAGAATAAAATAGTTAGGCGAATTTAAAGAAAAGGAGACACAAACATTGATTATGACCTTTATATATGTAAAACATTTAGTAAAGATACAACTTAGTGGAAGGTGATACCAAAAAGCACAAATAGTTCTGCCTGTTAACTGACAAGAAATAGGTTGAGAATTTTTCATGAGCATTACTTTTGTTACCAACTGCTAGGCTTCACATTTGAAGAAGTTGGTTCTCTCCACTCAAGCAAATCCAAGGTTCTATGCTGCCATTTTTCATCGGAAGGGAACTTGTTAGCTAGTGCAGGGCATGAAAAAAAGGTCACTTGATAAATCTATAATGTTCAGTTTATCATCTTCTTATTCAGTATTTTAGTAGTCTTTTTATGAGTTTGCTGCTGATTTCATCTGCTGGCAGGTTCTGATTTGGAACATGGAAACCTTTGATTTTGATAAAACTTCAGAAGGGCATTCTCTTCTCATTACAGATATACGGTTTCAACCAAATTCAACAATTTTTGCAACATCTTCATTTGATAAAACTGTGAAGATATGGGATGCAGCAAGAGTAAGTTTTTCACTATCATTATTATCTGAGTCTTCTTTTACCACTAATTTCTGTCTTATAGTGCAAAATTTCTTTGGCGGTTTTACCATTTTCTTTTTCTTTTTCCATTCCCTTTTAGTTCTCCTCTTTTCTCATATATTTTTCCTGTACGAGGAAACAGACTAGACCCTACCCGAATATGGGTATTTGTGTAGATATTCTACATTAACATCTTGCAACTGGATGAAAATTCTATATGAAACACCTACAGACTGTTTCTAGCTGGTCATATTCTCATGTTTGGTATATGTCTTAAAGTATTTGAGATATTTACCCTTCATATTGTAATTCATTGTTGCAGATTACATGCTTGATTTCATATGCATGATTGCTACTTGGTTTAAAAAGATATTTCGTTATGGCAACAATCTGACTGTATAGCTCAACTTGTCTCGGTTTGATTGGGGATCCCTGCCTAGCATATGAGTTGAACATATGAGTACCCCAAGCCTGTTAGGCCTGGCTAGTCTTTGTTCTCTCCCCACCTATGTCTTCTAGACTCACATGTCTTTATAATCCACCTTTCTTTTGAAGTAATGATTAACAAAATATCATTTGACATAGATCAATGATCTTTGGTACATCATTGTGTTATTGTAGTCGAGCAAATCGTTATCCAAGCTTTTAGGGCACACTGGACAAGTAATGTCACTGGATTTCCACCCACAGAAGGTCAATCTCCTTTGTTCATGTGATAATAATGATGAAGTCCGACTGTGGGATATCAACCAATGTACTTGCACAGGCATCTTTAAGGTAATAATATCTTGATCATTGCATTTGTTATAGTATAATTGTTGCATCTGAGTCATTTCCATGTTATGATCCACTGTATTCTAATTCTTAATTTGAAGATGATGGGGTAGACAAGTTTCTCTTGGACTTTCATCCATCTAGGCCTTACCCGAATCTCCTTGTGGACTAACTGCAGGGAGCAACTAAACAAGTCAGATTCCAGCCTCAATTTGGAAAATTTTTGGCCACTTCATCAGGAAATGGTATCAATGAATTTGATGTTGAGACTGGGAGTCTCAAGTTTTCCTCGAAGGTAAGCCTCAAGATCATTCATGCGTTTTACATGCTCCTATAGCTATTGTCAATGCATCTAGATGCCAAGTTCTTGCACAGTTTACTTGATAGAAAGAAAACTTATTTCAGGGATCCGGACATGTCAAAGATGTTGTTTCACTTTGCTGGGATACCAGTGGGAAGTATCTTGCCTCTGTTAGTGAAGACAGTGCAAGAGTTTGGTCTACTGCGTCAAACGGAAAATGGATACATGAACTGAAATCAAATGGCAATAAATTCCAATCATGTACATTTCATCCTGGATATCCACTACTCTTGATCATTGGTGGTTACCAGGTAACTATTAATACTTGATGTAAATTGCTGCTGGGGATTTGGTGAGGCTGTTTGTGCCTTGTGTCTGTACATGAAAACGGGGTTCTGCACTTTCATCGTTTAGTGGGATTGGGATATTAGCATTGGATACGTTGAAGGAAAATGAAAACAAGGTTATTTATTTTGCTAGAATATGAAAGTATTAGGATGAAAATGTTTTTAAGAACATAACGGGTAGTGTTTATTAAGCTGCATTATGACAAGTATTTGAGCCTTTGATTTTTATAAGGATGTTAGGAAAATGAAGTTTGGAAATGTTAAATTATTGGTTTGTTCTTGGCAGTCCCTGGAGTTGTGGAATCCAAGTGAGAGCAGCAAAACATTGACAGTTCCAGCTCACAAGGGGCTAGTTGCTGCAGTGGCAGAATCCCCAAAGACTGAAATGGTTGCCTCAGTGAGCCATGATCAGTGTGTCAAGCTATGGAAATGAGAGACCTACCTGTCAACGCCACAGCTCCTGCATGAGGAAAATATGGAGAATATGTAAATTGGGAATGGAAAACAAACCAAAGATACAACTTCTGTTAATAACCTGCCTTATTATAGGAGAGAACAGGTCAAGTCAATTATACCTTAATCTTTGATATAGGCACAGTTGCACTCTTGAATTTACAAAATTCAAACATGGCCAGCATTAAAAAAGAAGGCCTGCGGCCATGGTTGTTTTCTGAAACAAAAAAACATATATATATTATGTAGTCGAAGTTAAACAAGTATATTTCCAAAGAGTACTTTGATGTCTTTTTTTCCTTCCTTTTTTGAGAGTTTGTTGTCAATTTTTTTGGGAGCTTATGGATATTTTCTAACAAAGGATCACTGTAATTTCTGATGCACCATATAATCATCTTAAAGGTTCATTTCGTGAAAACAGTTTGCTAAGCTTCGGAGTAACATTTTTCTTCATCCTCCTCACCCACAGTTAATTTCTCATCTCTTGGTGAGATTAGGATTTTACCATGAAACAGTATTTTGTGCACGCATTTTCAGGGCATGTTTCCACAAAAGACATAAAGCATTAGAAATTATGCCTCGAAATTCATATCAAGCTGAATGGGATTTTCTTAATCAAACCCAGGAAACATGTTACGGCTATGCCGGGTTTTAGATAAATCAAAAGCTTGTGATGGAAAACAAATCTAAAAGGAGAAGCCTGCACTACAAGAATTTAGATGTATTAAATCAATCTACAATGCAGAACTGCTTTTGCTAGTTTCTATTCTATCACTTGATTCATTTCCATAGCTCTTCCATGGGGATACCACGTTCCCGAGCCACATCACTAAACTGCCGCATTTTCTGGATACCAACTACAGTCGCTCTGGCATTGTTCAGAGCATTCTTGCTTCCCAGTTGCTTTCCTAGAGCATTTTCTACCCCTGCCATTTCGAGCACGATTCTAACAGAACCTCCAGCAATAACTCCAGTACCAGGAGACGCAGGTCTAAGCATTACCTTGGCTGCTCCATAATCTCCCTCAGATCTGCGATTCATCAGGTCAACAAAATAGTGAGTGCAAAAATTGACATGAGATGATGAGATGCTGCATTAAAAGGTATTGGCATTGTAAATTACAAGTGCTATGATGCCTATATAATAGATTTTGTAGCTCAAGTTTAAGACCATCTCATGCCATGGCTCTATTTCAAAAAGAAATTGGGAGCACAGGAGAGCACTCCCATTGACAATTATTACCTGTCAACTTTTAGGAGCAGAATATAATAAAAACAGGTCCTCCCAAAGAGGAGAATGAAGATAGCTTTCTCTACATAATGTTTTTCCATCTACGATCACATAAGGTATTGGCATTGTAGATACACGTGCTATGACTGCTGCAGGCAGCACAGCGCCCACACACAGCATGCCAGCATTTCATCGAACACTCCAGGCAATTGTCAGAGAGCATCCACTCCAGTGCCTAAAACCTTTGAAATCTTGTACTTAAGTGATTCACCAAAATATCAACCATAAGACTACTCCATAGAATACATACTACTTCAAGTATAGCTAGCATGCAATGTGAGCAAACTACAAATACCAACCAAATTCAGCTCCTCATATTATCTCAGACCTCAGACACCAAAATTTAATCAATTCTCATCCTGTCTAACATATTTCAAACTCTGATAGGCAGTCGGCTCACCCACAAAAAAATGCAATTACATTCAATTCCAAGTTCTACAAAATCCTAAATGCAGAAGCGTCCAAACCACCAAATGACCAAGAGGATCAGTTTCACACAGTTCAAACACAAGGTCGTCAAAATAAATCCAACTCAGATGTAGTAATGACCATAAGTAGGCTGAAAGCCAAGTATTCGGTCATTGACACAGTGAATACTAGCAAGTTGGGCATTCATCAAAAATGAAATAACATTCAATTCCACACTCTTACAATGAAGTGCAGTATTTTCAACACCACCAAAGATCAAACACACAATTCAAACAAAATGTCAACCAAAACCCAGAAGTAGAAATGGCAATACCTATGAGGAAAAGTGAGGTACTTGGTCATGGGCACACTGATAATGTTCCTTCTAGCATTCACAGCAGACTTTTGAACCGCACCAATAACCTCCTTGGCTTTGCCAACACCAACACCCACTTGGCCCTGCTTGTCACCGACCACCACAATAGCTCTGAAATGCAACTGCTTGCCTCCTTTAACCACCTTGGTGACCCTCCTCACCTGAACCACCCTCTCCTCAAACCCATCTCTGATCTTCTCCTTCTTCAATTTCCCAAAAGCACCTGTCTTTTTTACGTTAGAGTCCATTACGTAGATGTCATTGCCCAGAACACTCATGCCACTGTAGGCTGGACCGTACAGCTCCTCGTAAGCTGCGGCGATCTCGTCCTCGGTCTCAGACGACTCGTCGTCGAAGGAAGGTGGGGGGACGAAGCCTTCTGGGACCTCAGGGGGCTCGAAGACTCCGTCGAATTCGGGGTCTTCGTTGTCGAAGAAGGAGGTCTCGACGTCAGCTGCTGCGGCATTGAAGATAACAGTGGTGGGTCGTGACGAGGAGGTGGAAGAGAGGAAAAGAGAAATGGGTCTTTTGGGTTTGGTTATGGAGGTGGTGGCAGCTGTGAAAGGGGACAGAGAGAGGCGTGGAGAGGTGTGGAGAGAGAGAGAGGAGAGAGAAGAGAGAGATGAAGAGCTTGTGGACATTGCCATGGTGGAACTGTGAGAGTATGATTGGGTTTCAGAGAAGCTTATCTCTAAAGGCCACAGCTTGGAGGATGGAGGATGAGTCATCACCTCATCGCCAAGACGACGGTGAGATGTATATGATGTTGCAAATTGTCAGTGGCACGTTATACGGCTAGTCGTTTTTCCTCCATACGACTTGTCTTTTCACAGCGAAAACTGTGATTGCAATTTTTCTTTTTGTTATTATTTCTTTTCTGAAAGTGAGATGGAGTACTTTTATAGTGGGCTGGATAGACAATATGCCGGCCCAATCTCAGCTCAGCCCAACTCTACAGCCTAACTCTCCAGATCAGCCCATTTCACAATCCTAAGCTTCTATAATAAGGGAAATTTTACGTTGACGGGTGTGTTGAGGAGTTCAATCCTGTCGTTCAATAATAACTCTACAAGTGATTGGAACGGCTAATAAGAGGTGACAATTGAAGAATTCTCTTTAATTTTATGGTAATTTTCATAAACTTCCGTAGTATGTTTCTTTTAAATATATATATATATATATATATTTCTTATTTGAAGTGAGAGTGGGTGTAGAACATGTCTTATTTTTAGTTTTCTTTTTATTTTTTAAAGTCAACTTTTGAATTTTGAATAATTGACCATTCTATGCTTATATATGTAGACTAGTTTATTTTTGAACCTGGGTGTTTTACATGATTGTTAATTATTATGCATATGCAATTACCTTGAACTTGTGGAATTTAGCAACAACAAAAAAATTAATACGTAAAAGAGACTAATTTAAGATAAAATTAAATTTTATTCCACTGAGGATATAATTGACTTCACATAAATCATTTGATTTTCCTATATCTTCTCCAACACATGAAACACTTGGTAAAATCATGTGCCAGTAAAAGGAAAGTCAAAAAGTAACAAATTACTCAACCATGCAATGCAATGCAATCAAATGTTGTTCAGCTCCTCCACTACGACTTGTCGTCGTCCGTTGTTATGCTGCCGTTATAATCAAAAAGACAAAAGTCATCACAATACTTATAGCGATCAACTTCCGGGAGTGTCCCAAGGCCTTTGTAGCAGTCATCGGTCTCAAACTGATAATCGTTTGCCATCCTCGTCATTGCTCTTCTCTGTGACGGTGATGGTGATGGGGCAGGCTCAACCCCCGCCAATGTAGATGGTTGCATAGAGGTTTTGATATGTCCAGTGGCGTCGTTAGCTTCCTCACATTGTATGTGCGGCGAAGAAGCACACGTCATGGACAATGCAATTATGGTGTTAGCTTCTTGCTCTTTCTGAAGTTGTTGTACAAGTAGTGCTAGAGATGATGATGATGCATCTTCTTCATCCCTAGCTACATAGGTATACGCTGAAGGTGTAGGTATGTCAGCAGTAGCGTTGTGGTTGTTGCTATAGCTTTTGGCATTGGTGTTGGTGTTGGCATCGGCGTAGTTAAGGTTGGAGTCCGGAGTGTTGCCTTCGGTGGTGGTGTGGCTGTTTGAGTTGTTGGCTTTATGGTTGGTTGTTTTGTTGTTGTTGTTGTTGTTGATGTGTGAGGGGGGCTTGGCATGTATTGATCCTGCTCTCGTTTCTGTGGAGATGTACTGTTTCCTCAGCATGGAAGTAAAAGAAGCTTAGTTAAGACAGCATTAATTGAGATAAGCAACATGAATGAAATCTATATGCAACATGCAGAAGTAAAAATACAGCAAACATTGACAGTTCAGATCTGTGTAAGATATGACTTCAGTTCATATTAATGGTCTTGCCATAAACTATAGAGATTTTCTCCTTTTGGGAATATCATAATTATTATTCTTTTTTGTAAAAGGTTACATGAAGATGAGCCAAAACACCAGTTTTAGTCTTCTATTCTGTAGTATTAAAGATGCTCTTAGGCTGTCTTTTGTATAAGGCAGGTCCTGCCAACTAATTGGAAGCGTTTCTAAACTCTCAGGCCAGTCAGGTGCAAAATACTCGTGTTATTGCCAACACATCTCCATCAATAGCCTTCCTATTTTTTTTCATACATGAACCTTTCCATTTGGTCTTATAACATGTACCTTCACAAACTATCCTTCTCAAGATATAGTCATCGTAATGGAAAAAGATAAGCTCAAACAAGCTCTTCAAATTGTATTCAATTTTCAAAATATCATTTTAAAATGCAACAGGTTTTGTTTTAAGGAAGAAAAGAAGAACTCACAAGGTTTTTGTCTTCATCCTCCAAAAGACAAATGCAATCTCCCACCTCCAACTTGTTTTGCTTAACAAAGTCGCCTGTTGCATTAAAAAAATGGAAACTCTGGTTAGTAAAGTGAACATATTTGCATGATTGTCAAAGAGAGTGACCCAAAAGCAATGAGATTTATTAGCAAGTGTGTCAGTTTTTTTTTACCTGTGTTCTCTAAGAGGTACATTCGACTTTTGTTATTTGACCAATACCTGTGTTGGTTCAACAGACAGAAAAAATGGCTTCAATTAAGTGGCAAAAAACTCTTGCTATAGATGGGCTTGCTTGCCATTAAAATCTTAACTTATAGTATTGTCCATACACTTACTTATACTTCAAGCCCCACTCCTGGTCAGAATATACATCTCTGATCATCAGCTGGATGCCTTCTTTGTCAGAGAGCATTGGAAGGTTTTCCTCTGCTTCTTTCTGTGAATGAGGTGGTAGAACACGGTATTAGGTCAGCTTGGACGATATCAGAGAGTTTCATTTCTTTTAATATAATGTTCATAAAAAGATGAGGAGAATCATTTTGCACTAGTCAATAAGAGTAAATCAAATCAGAGTAAAGAAGTAGGTTGGTTGGCCCTTTTACTTCTTTCTCTTTCCCTTAGAAAAACAAAAAACAAAAAAAAGGAGTAAAAGAAGTTAAAGCCAAACAAGCGGAAGATTTTACAGGCAAACAAACATCACCTTTGGAAGGACAATCCTTCCCAAAGATCCAACATCACTGTTCTTCAACTCCTTCTTAAACATCACTCTCAGTTTCTGTAAAAGAAAAAACAAAAGACACAGAATTAATAATGTAAAGAAACACATGCAAAATTCAGATTTGAGATCACAAAATCTACACCTTGTTATCCGGTGTGCAGAACGTGTAGAGGTGTTTGTTGATGTTCTGCATATCAGCACCAGCACCAGACGATGACGTGGACATACTTCCCCGATCATCATCCTCATTCCACGGAAATGGAGCATGCCTCCTTGAAGATGGAGAAGAAGACTCAGAAGAAGCAGCAGCATTGGGATTGTTTCTGCTCAAACTGAGACTCCTCTGTCTGGCCATCCTTCTCTCCTTTCTCGCCGCCTTGGAGACTAATGCATCCAGAGTCCATCCTGATCTGGCCAGGCTGTCCTGCTCTGTGGACACTACCACATTTGGCTGGCCACCGACCAGGAACGGATACATGGGCAGACCGGCCTGCTGATAAGGATATGAGTATTGGAATTGCAGGCCCGGATTTGGTGCTAGATACTGTGCCGGATAACAATAGTACTGAGTGGTTGAAGGACCACAAGTTGTTGAAGGGGAACAGCTCATTGGTTCACAAATGGACAACTGTGAATGTTGTTCTTGGGGAGCGGAGGTTATGGTTGATGTGGAGGGGATGGAAGGTGGGTGGAAGTTGTCCATTTCCAGATTTGTGAACACAAAGAGTGTTTGTTGACAGTGAGGGTGGTCTTTGGTTTGGTGTTGGTGATCAGAGAAGGTGGTGGTGTTATCCTGGTTTTATGTTAGTGTGTTAGTGTGTGTGTGTGTAAGCTGCAGGCTATGGGGAAGCTGGGAAGCTTGGGATGCTGCCAATGGAGATAAGCCAGGTGTGGCAAGAGAGAGAGAAACACATAAGGGGGTGCGGGGGAGTGGGCAAGGAAAGAGAGAGAGATAAGAAAAAATAAAGATAAACATAAAGAAAAGGCCGAAGAGGAGGGCCAGCGAGTGAGAAAATTGGGGTGAAAGAAAGAGAGAGTATGGGATGGAAGAGTAGGAGCTGTCAGATGGGGTGGAGTGAGTGACAAGTGGCCGGAGGCTGGTGGTTTTGGAAAACCCATCTGACCAGTCTGTGAGAAGAGAACAGAATCAGAGAAATGGTAGACAGCAGAGAGGAGAGGCTTCAAACTTGGCGCCTCTTATGGTTCAAATGTGGCAGACTTTCCTTCTGCCATACCACGTTTCTTCCTTCCTCTGCTTCTCTGCCTCCCAAGCGCCTACCAGCCTTAACCTGCAACAAATTATAGGATGGAAAAGTTATTGGAGTGCTATTTTCAGGGATGATTTCCTCTCTTCACAACCAGGCTTCACGGTGTCTCATATGACAAGTGCTATAAATGTCACATAAGACAAAATGAAGCCCAACATTGCAAATTAAGACCTTCCCCAGAAATACCACACCAAGAACTCAACCTCTTAGATTGTTATTTTTTATTTTTATTTTTTATATAATAAGATTTTTTTGTTAGGGGGTTAGGTGTCGTTTTAATTTATTATATATGTTTTAATTTTATGTAATGTTAGGAATGTGAGTAAAAGATTGTTATAATGTTGGGAATGTGAGTAAAAAAGAGCAGCACAACCTGATGAACTCGAGGGATTTTGAGTTTTCATTTTCATCTTAACTTGAACCACTTCAAGTTCATGATCTGATACCATGTCTTGCCTGCTTGTCATTATATCACCCACAAAGTGAGAAATGAAACCGCCTACGAGTCCATCCTGCATAAAAAACATTTCATCTTTACAATCTTATGGTCACAGAAGCATGATTCGTTCTATGCAGAAAATGCATACATATAGTGCCTTCCACTATTCTCTTAAACTGAAAATGGTGTCAAGCATTTATAAAATATAATGAATTGTAACTGATAATAATAATAATAATGGAAGTTCATATTTATCTCCACAAGTTTGTCATATCTGTATACGCTAAAGAGGAAACCATATATCCCTTTGGTTAAAAATGGAAGCAAATTAAACTTAAAATTTTGCCACTTCATGATCCTTCTTTCTTGGGTACGATTTTGATATCTTACCAACTCCAATCCATAAGGTGGTGTGAGGTAATAGAAAAACAATATGAAACAAGACCACGGGCAGAACCTATAGATAACAATCTAAGCACAGAAGGTAATCCAAACAACACATAAACAAACTGGGGATCCTAATAGAGGCCTGATAACTGTTATACAAAATTCACACACAGGTACCTGCTGAAGAAAAAAAAAATCATTTATAATATCATAGCAGCAATGCTGAAAGAAAATTAACAACCATGCCAGAAGAAAAAAGCCATATGATGCAGTATTGCTACCTAGTACTTACAGGGTTAGCCACAGAATCACTGTGGTATTCACTTTGACTAGGAAGCTCCATGACAATGAATTGCTCCTATACTCATCACCAGAGTGAAAATTCAACTGCTTCTGTTATAAATGAAGAGAAGGTTTGATAGCAACAACAGGGAAGAAAAACTTGAATACTGAATTGTGAAGAGACCCTAAGACAACTAGGATTTATATAGAGGTGATAAAGAGATTCGACAAAGCTTCATGCAATCCAAACATGCCTAGGTGATTACACCTGCCCCAGACGGTTATATAGATGTCGATCATGGAGAAAAATCGTCAACCTGCAGAACGTGGAATCATATAGAGGTGACAGAGGTTCGACAAGCTGCATGCAAACCAACACCTGCCCCAGACGGTTATATAGATGGCAATCATGCATAAAAGCAAAACGCTCAACCTTTGAACATGGATTCATATAGAAGTGATAAAGAGATTCGACAAAGCTACATGCAAATCAAACATGCCTAGGTGATTACACCTGCCCCAGGCGGTTATATAGATGTCGGTCATGGAGAAAAACGCTCAACCTGTTCAACGTGGAAAGAACTTATTTTCGAAAAAGACAAATTGGGTAAGTAGATCAATTTATCATTATGTTCCGTCCTCTTTTAATTTTTTTCATAATAAAATTACGAAAGCATCGCATAAGAAAATGTACATGTACAAAGCTTACCTTAAAAACAAGCAGCTGAATGTAGTTTGGCCACCCAATTGGCCTTCATTAGCTTAAAATACATAAACTTATCTGAACTCTTAACCTGACATAATGATAGAGAACGAATACCAATATGGTTTAAGCGCATTAGTCAAGAAAAGTTTCCAAAACTTAAGAGAAGGTAGGCTAAATATGCCGTGAACAATTTAAAGCATGATTGAAGACATGTACAATCAATAATGGTGCTATATGGATTAGCATCTCATCAATCTCCTGAAAATCAGAGTTCAGACATGGAAACATCCAAAAGCTGCAACAAGCCTAATATCACAACACTACATAATGGTTTGAGAAAGTTATCAAATTAAATGAGGGTTGTTATCCAAAAAAAAGAATAAGATTTCTAACTTGGTTCAACACTAATATTTGAACTTCTAGTTATTCTTCATTTCTTTGAGAAAATGAATTTGAGTTCAATTTCTTTCAGAGTGGAAAAGATCTGATATAATGTTACTTATGCTAGACACTCAACAGAGCTAACAATATGAGTAAGACATTTATGATAAATGGCAGCACAGAAATTAGCATTTTGTGATCTCCTGTAAATCAGATATTCATGACAGACGGAAGTGCAATATGAAGTGAGGCTTCATTCCTTTCAGAGGACAATGAAGAAGGAAAATGCAACATCATCCTTTATGTTATAAGGATATGTCCAAATGGTTTTTACTCAAAAGTGCTATTGATAAGACTTCTTTTATTTCATAAGGATATCTTTATTTCAATTTTTTTTTTTTTTAAATCATGCTGTAAGTTTCAGGCAAAATGCTAATCTTGGAGAGTGATGCTGATTGGTGCAATGCACATTTTGTTGGCTGTAGATTTTGAATTTCAAGTGCTACTCATTGTTCAACAATAACTACATCAAATCTTCAAAAGACAGAGATCTAGACCAACATGGCTACTTATTCAAATCCGCAGGGACAACAGAATCTGAAATCCCATAAGGGAAAAAGTGAGGATATTTTGATATTATTAAAGTTCATTACAAACTACCTACAAATCATCCTCCTGCAGTTAGATACTATACAGTTCTACCACAGTCAGTGAACAAATAATGATAAATCAACCAGGACAAGGCATTAACTATCATGAATGGTAAAATGCTATAAATTTTAATCACGCAACTATATGGAAACCTACATATATCGTTAGAATTCAATCCAGTTCAAATTAAGCAACTGATAACTGAAAACAGAAACAACATTAGTCAGAGTCTTGTTGGCACTTCCAATATAAAAACACAATGGGCAATGCTTCACAGATGTTAGTTTCCTTTACTGAACTAAGGTAGTCATGCCTCATACTGATGCATGTAAATATGATACTTGCAGGAGATGACATGAATGCTATGCAAAACTAATATGGAACTAATGAATACATAAATGAGTCAGGGAGGGGTAAGCAACAACTTTATCGCGAACAAACAATATGAACAATTTGAATGGCTGAAGATGGCTTCTCCTCTCTTAGATGCATTGCTTGTATCTGTAGCACATGCATGAATTCCAGCCACAAGCACTATTGTTTTTTTACAGATTTTCAATTTTTCTTTTAAAGACAGTACAATTGGAAATAAGCATTATTGCTCATCAAATGTCTTAACAAATACTAGATTTGTCATTGCCTGACATGAGCAGCCTGTGTTCATACACTTATTTCAGTAATGCAACAATAACAAAGATGAGGTCAACTTAGAAAGCCAATGCTCTAGTTAACTGAATGTCACCATAGTTTTCCAAGCAGTGAAAGTTTTTGGCATGCAGGCAGGATCAATAAAGGGTTATAGTCAAAGATTTGTCTAGAAAACTAATACAGATGATGGAATCTATAAGAATAAGCCTGCAATTACTATGTTCATGCCTATGTGCAATATTTGCATTCAGATTTTTCCAATCCAGGTAAACAATATAAGTTCAGAATTCCATTAAGCTTCACACACAGGCTAGTAGGTTAGCACATTTAAGGCTAAACACGTCTCATAAATCAAGCTAACAAATCAATTTGAGCATGAGGCATAGGAGGTAAAGAAGTGAGAGCGTTAGCCCAAAGGGGTGATACTAGTGTGCGGGGTAATGAGTTAGGATTATGATAGGTACAGGGTTCGATTCCTGCCAATGTGAAAAACTAAATAAAATAAATTAGAGAAACAACAATTTATATGATAGAGGAGTCTCTTTTTCCCAATTCAACCATCTAGGGATTAGAATATGATGAAATCGTAAATTGACATATTTGCACATATGTGATATTTGAGTAAAAGCAAGAGAGAATTTTGTCAGCACCTGAAGATTGCAATTCCCAAATTAACCTCGGTGGTAGCAGTCGTAACGGAAATCGGGAAGAATATGCCCCTATCCCGATTGGCATTTTGCCTGACGGACTGACTGAAACCGTCGCCCCAGTAAAAACAACTGGACAACAACCACAACACACACCCTCTTCAAAACGTGACATCATTTTGACCCTTCACTGAATTAATTGGTTCTAATTAATTTCCAACCTGTTCTCTTCTCTACCTTCCAAAGCAATCTCAATTGGTTCCATGTCACTTTTGTCACCTAATATTGAATCGGATTGGATGACTCAACCCAATCTGATCATAGTGGCTTAATTAATTTGTGGATTAGAGACACTTGTGTATGAGAAACCTCTATCCTTGAGTTCTGACCAATTCTTGTACTCTTTAAAAAAAAAGGAGGTTTACTAAAACACCCAAAATAGGGGCTGAAATTATAAAAAAAACCCAACATCTAAAACACTTTATAAACACACCAAAAACCCATCATTACACACACTCAAAACTTATTTATAAACACACCCAAAAAATATACAATTATTGATTTTAGAGTTAATTTTGGGTGTGTTTCTATGTTTAAATAGTCTTTAAATTTTTTTATAAATACATATCTAGAATTGGGTTTATTTATAAATTTATATAAATAAAAAAAAGCCTAAAAGAATTTTCCAAAGCAAATCTTTTATTTTTGATAGCTTTCTACATGGATTGGATTGAAATGAATGCCCAAAAAGTTTGAGGGAAAAATAAATGGGCTTCAAAACTATAGCCCAAGCACAAACGGGGCCTGGAAGCACCACTGGCAACAGTAGCCAGAAATTATGTCGACAAGGGAGGCTGAAGAAGATGTAACTATCTCAGCTCCCCACCAACCGACTACTACACGTGTCGAGCAACACGGCTCCCACCTTACCCTCCCCAAACTCGTTATAACATGCAACCCCAGAAAGAGGTGAGATATTATCAGAAACCAACGTCGACACAGAAGAAAATAAAAAAAAAGGAAAAAAACAAAAGAGAAAACAGAGCAACCAAACATGGCAGTGATTTCCCTAGCCAATAATGTCGCAAGGCCTTTTCCTCAAGCCTCTTCCTCAATATCTCACGGATATTCCTCTCGCAAAGTCTCCCTGGTCTGCTTCACCTCTGCCTTCAAATTCTCCGGGGTAATTAATTTACACTAACACTCTGTTTCTTCATCTCATGTAGGCATGTTTAATTTCAATGGAACTTATATTTTGAATTTCAGGGTCGAAATGCGTCGGAAGAGAACAGGGGATATTATTCAATGGTTGACAACAGGGGATATGCCGACAAGAACTGGAGGAAAAAAGAACGAGACGTGAGTAGGAAGGCAAAAGAGACCGTGGAAGATGGCCTGGACAAAAGCAAGCAAAAAGCAGAGGAAATCAAAGACACGACCAAGGAGTATGCACAGGGTGTAGCGGAGACGGTGGCAGAGAATACAAAACAGGGAATAAACACAGCAGCAGAGACAGCAGAGAGCGCAAAGGAGAGAGCCAAAGAGTACGCGTACGAGACAAACAAGAAGACCAAAGATGTGGCGGGGAATGTAGTGGATACGGTCAAAGAGGGGACTAACAAGGCCGCAGAGACGGCGGAGAGTGCGAATGAGAAGGCGAAAGAGGGCGCGTTGGGGGTGAAGGAGAGAACAGAGGATGCGGGGCAAACGGTGGTGGACAAGGTGAAGGAGGGGACGAGCAAGGTGGTGGAGACGGCGGAAACCGTGGTGGAGAATGTGAAGGAGGGGACAAGCAAGGCGGCGAAGGCGGTGAATGATACGATCAATCCTGATGGGAAGAAATATTGATGTTCTGCTCTGTGAATCTGGTTATCGATGGATTTACTATATAAAAACTACAAATTGGGTCTTTTCCTTCAACCTCTGTAATGGCATACACCTATTTCAGTAATGCATCATTAACAAAGATGATACTTATTTGTCAACTCAGATGGCCAACAATGCTCTAGTTAACTGAATGTCACCATAGTTTTCCAAGCAGTGAAAGTTTATGGCATGCAGGACCAGTAAGGATTATAATTTATAGTCAAAGTGTCGTGTAGAAAACTAATACAGATGATGGAGCCGATAAGAATAAGCCTGCAATTTCTATGTTCATGACAAGGTGCAATATTTGCATTCAGATTCTTCCAATCCAGGTAAACAATACAAGTTAAGAATTCCATTAAGCTTCACAGCCTTGTAGGTTTGCACATATAAGGAAGGCTAAACAGGTCTCCTAAATCAAGCTGACAGATCAATTAGAGCATGAGGTATAGGATTTAAAGAAGTGAGAGTGTTAGCCCAAACGAGTGATAGAGGCGGCGTGATGAGTTAGATTACGACAAGTTAGATTACAATAGGCGGGCTAATGAGTTAGGATTACAATAATGTTTTAGATTACGATAACGATAAGAGATTACGATAGACAAGATAATGAATTAGGATTACAATAATATTTTAGATTACGACAATGAGTAGAGCAGAGCCAGCATGAGACCCGTGTGGTCCCAGGCCCCGACTCCATTTTTTACCTCTTTTATTTGTATATTATATATCATATATAATATTATAAAATATTATGTTAGTTTTAGGATAATTACCCTAAAATAAATTAATATATTAGGTTCTTTTTGTCTACAAATAAACCATAAAATATCTTGATCTCCCTTCTACTCATTCTCCCTTAAATCTTCTAGGTTAGTTTATGGTATTTGCAATATAAACTCCTAAAGTTTTAACCTTTTTTTATCTTCCTCTTTTTTTTAAAGCTTTGTGAATTTTTTATTTTCCTAATTTTTTATTATTTATGAGTTGAGTACCTTAATATTGCGTTTTATGAACTCTTTTTTGTTTTTCGTTTCTTTTCTATTTTAGAATATAAATAATTAATTTTTAAGTCTTTAATAGTGCAGATGATGAAATTAGTATTTAACCAATTTAAAATATGAAATTCATGATAATTAATTTATGAAGAAAATACAAGTTTTATGAAGGGTCTCCTCTAATGTGAAATTCTGGCTCCACCACTGATAATGAGTTAGGATTACGATAGGTACATGTTTCAATTCCTACCCATGTAAGAAACTGAATAAAACCAAATAAGAGAAATAACCATTTATAAAGAATGATTTATGTTATATAAAAACCCCATGAAGAGTAAAGGGAAAAACACAAATCTTTTGTGGGGGTCTATTTTTCCCAATTCAATCATCTAGGGATTAGAATATGATGAAATTGTAAATTGACATATATTTAACGCAACCCAATATAATCATATCGTTAATCTACGAAGTATCCAATTTAATCCAATACTAGATACTAAAAATGATCTAAAAGAATTTTCCAAAGCAAATCTTATAGTCTTTCTTTATTTCATCAGTGGTGGGCTTCAAAAATAACTTGAGCTAGCGTTACAAATATAGCCCATAACACAAAGGACCTTACCATTTCGGGCTGTCCAAGATTTGATCTGGCCCATATTAAGATTTCATCATCGGACTATTTAAGAAAGAAGATGTTACATGTGTAACTACCTCAGCTCCCCGCTAATTGACTATCACACGTGTCGAACAGCACGACTGCCACCTTAGTCTGGCCAAACTCGTTATAACATGCAACTCCAGAGGGTGGTGAGATATGATCAGCAACCAACGTTGACACAGAAGAAGAGAAAAGAGAAAGTAAAACAGAGCAACCAAACATGGCAGTGATTTCCCTAGCAAGAAATGTCGTCTTCAACCTCTCGAGGTCTTTTCCTCAAGCCTCTTCCTCAATATCTCTCAGATATTCCTCTCGGAAAGTCTCCCGGGTCTGCTTCACCTCTGCCTCCAAATTCTCCGAGGTAATTAATTAACGCTAACACTCTGTTCCTTCATCTCATGTGTATAGGCATGTTTAATTTCAATGGAACTTATATTTTGAATTTCAGGGTCGAAATGCGGCGGAAGAGAACAGGGGAGATTCAAGGGTTGACAGCAGGGGCTCTGCTGACAAGAACTGGGAGAACAAGGAACGAGAGTACGGGTCTGTTGACGTGAGTAGGAAGGCAAAAGAACCCATGGAAGAAGGCCTAGAAAAAAGCAAACAAAAAGCAGAGGAAGTGAAAGACACAACCAAGGAGTATGCACAGGAAGCGAAAGAGAAGACAAAGGGCGCAGCGGAGATGGTGGCAGAGAAGGCAAAACAGGGAACAAACAGAGCAGCCAAGACAGCAGAGAGCGCCAAGGAGAAAGCCAAAGACTACTCGTACGAGACTAAAAAGAAGACCAAAGATATGGCGGGGACTCTAGAGGATAAGGCAAAAGAGGGGACTTACAAGGCCGCAGAGACGGCGGAGACTGCAAAGAAGAAGGCGAAAGAGGGCGCGTGGGGGGTGAAGGAGAAAACAGAGGATGTGGCCGAAACGGCGGAGGAGAAGGTGAAGGAGGGGACAAGCAAGGCGGCCGAGACGGCGAAGGATACAGTGAAGGGGGCGTGGGGTGCGGTGAAGGAGACAGGGCAGAAGATTAAGGAGACGGTGGTTGGGGCGCCTGATGAGGAGGTTGGGGTTGGGGTTTTGGATGAGGACACTAGAGACAGTGAAGATGAAATTCATGTTGATGTTGATGGTGTGGCGGAAGGGAAGGTGGTGGGTGGGGATGTTGTGGAACGCAGGCAGCGTGCTGCCAATCCTGATGGGAAGAAATATTGATGCTCTGATCTGTGAATCTGGTTATTGATGGTGGTTTTAGGTTCTCTGCTTTTGCAGAACGTGCATTCTAATAAATCTTAACCGTTCAAACAATCCAGTTTTGACTTCTCCATATCATCAGCATAGTTCATCTTTTTGTAAAATCAGAAAGAACTGATAATGCCCCATTGAATCAGTTTCTTGTTCACAGTGACATGTGTTAGCCTTTAAATGCATTTACAAAATAAAAACAGCAAATTGGGTCTTTTCCTTCAACCTCTGCTACCACCTTTGAAGCACTCGAGATATTCTTAGACTAGTTGGCTGGTAAAGAGACATTGTAATTGATTAAAGATAGGATTTGAAGTGCCAATGGAGGTTTTACGAAGCTTTCAAAGCTTTCCCCTTTCCCTTTAACGAAGGTTTTACAGAGCAACATAGATTGATGTGCAGTGCAGTGCAGCACTGGGCAGAGTAAACATTTCATTTCTTGACATAAACCATCATCCTAAATAGAAAGACTATCTGTTGAATTGAAAGCAAACTCATCATAGTAAACATTTCATTTCTTGACATAAACCATCATCCTAAATAGAAAGACTATCTGTTGAATTGAAAGCAAACTCATCATAAACTCATTTTCTAATTACTAGTGTCCACTAAACATAATTAGTCACTAAAATATTTCAACTCATGCATTTATTTAATTAGTCTCTTGCGATGTCATCGCCTATGAAGATAACTTGAGCTCTCCAAACTGTCCAGACAAATGATCATTCCCACTGTAGATCACGTGAAGATATCCATCGTTATCCTTATTTTCTTCATCGATTGCAGACATCAGGACACCTGTAAGTTAACATTGGAAGAATTATGGCGTGCGCGCGCGCAAACACACACACACACACACATATATATATATATATAAATTGATTTGCAGCTCACCAGTGGGAGGTTGAGTAGTGTTCTTGAAAAAGACAAACATGGGCCTTCTGATATTACCCCGTAAAAACTGAACAAATTTTCCAAGACGCATATCAGAAGGGATAAGGAATCTGCATCCAGAAAAAATGGGCAATCACTAATAGTTTTTGGTACAACTGCTAACTCCAAATGAATGAACAATACATATAACACTTAAAAATACAACACTTAAACAAGAAAAGCATCATAACTATTTGGTTTTTCCCTGACATATAGAAAAGCATAAAAGAAAAGTGAACAATCACAGCAATACAAATAAAGATAATCAAAAAACGAGGGAGTCGGCAACTAACTTCTTCATGTTAATGTCCGGAATATCACTCCCTGCATCCTTCTCTACACTCACCTGCATTGCATGCATGGAGGCTCAAATTAAAATTTAGAACAAAGCATATGAATACAAAGGAGGAAGTAAACATATTGGTGAAATTCGTACAGGTATACAAAGTGGATACTTCTCCCTCAAATCGGCACCTTCCAAACTTTTTTTTCCGTTCCTCCTCCAGCCTCTCTTATACCAATTGTCTAAGCAAGCAATGGCCCATATGCATTCATTCTTTCGTTTTCTGCTTTTTTTCACTAACGGAATATTTCTGAACGTATATCAAACACATAAATTAAAATGAATAATTTAATTGTACAAAGCAAGATAATCAAAGCACAAAGGGAACTAGCAACAAACTTCTTCTCGTCTCTGTCAGTGTCATCAAACTCACTCCCTGTCCCTGCAGCATTCTCCACTTTGACCTGCTTAAAGCTCCACTGATCAATCCCTGCCTCACACACACACACACATATATATTTATATATATATGATTCAGAGAAATTCTTACCGACTTTTTCTCTTCAACTTGCCTACTTTCTAAAGTATTATAGTCCATAACCATCAGTCACAAGAAAGAAAACATAAAAGTTAGACAAAAACTAATCATCCATTTAAAAGATAAACCATATTCAGTATCAACCCTGCATCCATGATTCCATGAAAATTTTAAATTACCTAACTACAGAGACCATCTTATCACAAAGAAGAAGAAAAACTACACACACTGTTAAAAAAAAAAAGAAGAAGAAACAAACCCTGAGAACAGTCATTCCTGGAAGAGCATTCTTCTGCCATGGCGAAATTACAACAACTGACTGTTCTCTGTGATAGGATAGGACCCAGCTCTATCTCAACCTTAACTCTATCCTTGAACAGAAAACCAATCTTGATATTACTCTAACAAATCCAAAATACAAGCCGTCTTGCTTTGCACAACTAATTAATCAGTATTTATACTGACTGACAAATTAGACTTTGTTAAGGACTTTAAACCAACTCTCCTAAAAATTCTCCACTGATATCTGCCAACGGAGCCCATTGAAAAGGGCCTTAAAACAAACCTATACATCTGGCGCAATGAAAACACAACATCTAATAGTACTAAAGGGACTCTATCACTCTGGAAGTTGTGATTTTTGTTTTTTTTAATTGGGCTAATAGTGTTGAAAAATTACAAAAAAGGAAAGAGAATTGGAAATAGGCCCAAATTAGCCAAATTAAACCGTCTTAAATTGATTTTCTTTGGTTCGATTTCTTCCGTGATTTTTGTCAAAACCAAACCTATCCAAACCGTTATAAAAGCAATGCACCATCAACTCACTCTATAACTATAGCATGCCTGCCTGCCTGCCTGTAAGCAGCAAGTAATTTACCTCTTACTTCACACTCACTCACTCTGACCTCCATCGTACAAGAAAGAATGAAGATTCAATCTTGACCATTACATTACATTACATGGTCATCCTAAATAGAAAGACTATCTGTTGAATTGAAAGCAAACTCATCATAAACTCATTTTCTAATTACTATAGTGTCCACTAAACATAATTAGTCACTAAAATATTTCAACTCCATGCATTTATTTAATTAGTCTCTTGCCATGTCATCACCTAGTTAGGTGAATTAAATGACTTCAGCAGCAGAACGAACCATAATAAGCCCATGTGCCATCGTAAAAACCCGTCGTTTTGTTCTGTCCATTAATTCAGACGACATGTTAAAATGGCCAAATAGTGTCGCTGGATTTCTATAACTAAGTGATGTGTTTTAATCTTCACCATTGCTTGGACCTTGAAACCAACGATCAAGATGACTAAGTGATGTGTTTTAATCTTCACCGTTGGTTGGGACTTGAAACCAACGATCAAGATGTGCAACAGAATCCCACCTGTTTATATAAACCACCTCTGGCTCTGACTTGAGGCGCCAAACCAGAACCATCTAACGAACTAAACAGTCGATTTTTCCCATTACACCGTAGAGTTGTAACTTCTTTCTCCACCACCTTCAGAGAATCCAAAATCAAGTATCGATTTCTTTTCAAGGGTTGATAGTTTTCTTGGTAAGAATTATCATGGAAAACGACAACAATTCTGATATGACGGAAGAAAGTGGAGTCACGAATCAAGATTCTATAAGTCTTTCGCTTGAAGCTCTTCAAGCGATATCAGACTTGAACAAATCAACCATGGAAGATGAGGGAAGCACATTGATCATGTCTGAAGAAATTGTGGGTCGTGACCACCGTACTGGACTGGCGGGTGAAGCAGAGCAAGAAGAAAGTCCAAATGTACGCTGGGTTTTGCTGGGTAGGGCTGAAGAAGAAGGTGATGTGAACTCAAAGTCCCTCAATCCTTCTGACATTGCTGAAAAAGAACACGCTGATTCACAATTTTGGTTTATAGGCAGAAAGATGGTAAATTCAATGTCCCTCAATCCTCATCTTGATTCTGATATTTCTGATTCTGAAGGAGTTAAAAAAGATTTGGATTTTGAGTTTATAATCAGAAAAGATGAAAAGCAGATGGTGGGTTTGGATCATCATAATGTGAAATCAGTGTTCTTTAATGACAAAATGGTGGGTTCGGATGAGATTTTGGGTTCATTGTCGGTGTGTGGAAAAGAAAAGACTGATCAACAAGACCTCAATAATCTTGTTCCTGAATTTGCAGAGAAAGAAAACATTGGTTTTGGTTCAGGGTCGAGTTCATGTTGTAGTGAAGGGGTTGAAGCTTTTGAGTTTATAATCAAAAGAAAAGATGTCATGAGAGCACATCATCTTGAACTGGAGGCTACTGGCCTGAAGAAAGAGGTTGCAACCCGTGGCATTCCATTCTGGTATGTTATACTTAAAGAGCATTTGTAAATTGTAACATATGTAGCTTGCTAATGGCTCTTTTACAGTCATTATACGTACATTGTAATGATGGATGAGTTAATTTGTTTGCAGTCATTATTATTTTCCATTGGTTTCGTGGATAACCTGCTACTTATAGTTAATTATTAATTTAATTTTTGGTTAATTTAATGCAGGCATGTGAATCATGTAATTAAGAGGAGTCGGAGCGTGAAGATATGGACATCATTGAATGGCATCATTGAAGGTGAAGATATGGATGTAGATGACCCTGATGCTACTGAAAGTGACAGTGACGATGACATGGATTTTGGTGACTACAATGGAAATGAAGGAGAAGATGCTATCGGGGATGAAGGAGGAGTTGATGGTCAGAGCAAAAAGGTGGCAGTTATTAGGCTATATCAGGAAGAAGAATACACCTGTGGGAATCTAACGATCAATGATTACCATAACGCACATCAGTTGGAAGAGGCAGTTTACAATCTCGTTCTGGAAACAAGGGCAATATTTCGCCAGCGATACCTCATGCCATTGACCACCGAGTATATCCTGAGGTATCGAAGAAAGAATAGTCCACAAAATTGGACAGACCTTGCTATATTTGAAATGGACTGGGAGGAAGTTGCTGCGCGCCTATTTGTAGTTAATGCCATGGATAACACTGAAGATTATTTAGACCATTACTATTTACCGGTGTTTAGGAGGTCAGTTGACGGAGCATCCCAAAAAATTGGGCATTTGTACCCTTGGGACTATAGGGATGCAGAGGAGTTGGAGCGTGCTTGTAAACATGTCCTCAGCAAACATGGTGTTTTAGATATAATGGAGTACAGTTTCCAGTATTATGGAGAAGGGAATGAAGAACTCCACATATTTGAATTGGATTGGCAGCAGGTTCTTCAACTTGACCTCCTATCACGTGTGTACGCCACACATAACGTTCCAAAGGAAGGAGATGGAGATGATGGTGTGTAATGCTTATGGTAGGCTAGTGCCATCTCTAATCATCCTGTGGTGTGAAGGACTTGTGTTTCATTGAAATGCCTCATGTGGAGGAATTAAAATACATGTAAAGTGATGTACTGGTGCTTAATGTGCTCACTATTGGTGCAAAGATGATGTGTTTTTCAGCGTAGTAGGGGCCTTTTGTACAATTTCCATACTCGTTTTGCAAAGAAAATAATGTGATCTCCATTTAACCATGGGGCAGAACGGGTACATAATCTGATTTCGTATTTGGGTCAGGGTCAGTGTAATATTCAGCCCTCAATTCAAGGAGAGATTATTCAAAGTTGCCATTCTATTAGAGAATGAGTCGTTGTCCTTCATGGCTTATTTGCAACATAAGCAAAAGCTTTGTGGCTTATTATGTGATATAACCCCTGCTTTCTGCTTTGAGGCTTTGAGCTGACGCATTCACATGCACATTGCAATGCAAGTGTGGTCTCCAACACCAACAACAGGGTAAGCAATTTACAGCTTAAATTTGGAAGGGTGTGTGCAGCATGTCAACTCATACTTGCTTACCAAAAAAATAATAAACATAGCTTAAATTTATAATACTGTTCACAAGATCCAGCATACATGAAAAGGGGATCCAGGACTTAATATATCTACTATTACGTAACTTGGAGGGAGCACAAATTATCTGAGTCCAGTCGAAAGATTTCTGTCACTTCACTTAGCCTTTGGTAATGCCACATATATTGCTTGTAAGTTTAGGAAAATTCCCCTGAAAAGGCCAACCAGTTTGTTAATGAATCGAGATAAGATATCAGGAACCAAAAAACATGATGTATATTATAGAGAAAAAAGGAGATTAAACTTATAGCTTGTACCAGCCAAAAGCGACCAAGCTGTGGAAGACGACACGGAGATGGAGTGGCACATACTGGTGATTTATCCAACCCAGAACAGGCCAGACTGCATTTTCATTCATCAAGGTTTAAAATGTGTTATGTTTCCTGATAATGTCTTAGTATAAAAAAATACAATGGAGATAGAATTATACCGTCCACGATGTGCATTGCACTGACAGGTAGTACTTCTTAATTTTATTCTTCACATGCATCCAGGGTCTTCCTGTGTTTCACTCAATAAGCAGCAAAGTGCACATGCTAACATGCCTCTTTCAGGCTGACTATCTTCGAAACTTTCAGAGTTGTTTGACTAATAACATTATAATCTGATATACAAATCATGCAACGCTTAGATCTTAATCAAATTTAAGGGCTGATAGGAACTACTGTATTTCTCACATGCCAACATGTCAAACATAAACAATTGATGATCACAAGTTTTGACATATTATATACTTACCTTCCACAACCAAGACATAGTAATTTGATTAGGAATTTTAGAACAAGCAATGAATTCTTCTTTATGAGCACAACCTTTTTGGTTTAAGAAGAGGAAGAGATCAGAAGTTATGGCACTTAAATAACGATGGCTATAATTAATATGAAGTGTAGGATGGATTTCTCAACAAAAACCAGAGTGTGAAGGCAAATAGAGTAGCCTTACCTTCTTGGCTACTGTTTTTGAATCCTTCTTCCCCTTGAAAATCTTATCAAGTAGTAAATGCAGGAAATGCCCAAATGGTCCAAGATAAACAGCTCCAAAAAGCTGCATGCAGAAATGCAAGGTTATAATGGAAAACACATTTAATATTACCTGTACACATCAAAATTGACATATTATATTAGCAATAGACAATTGTGCTTATAGCAAAAATTATAAAGTCTTCTTTCTTTCAGCACATTAATACTTTTAGGGCCAAGCTAATAGAGTCCTGAAGATCCACCCAAACTTCTTACAGAATCTTCTCACAAAAACAAAAACGTACAAATCACCCAATAATGATTGTAATTATGATGCATAATGAGTTTTAGTCATCATCCCTGACAACAATGCTGTATATTTTGCATTTTATCATGTTACTGGAATATTTTATGTTTGCTACACTAGTTTCTAAAAAGGGTTCGTGATATTATCTTCTTTAACTGCATGCCTTAATCCAAAAGCCCAGGTCAGGGGTGTGATATGCAGGGTGAGGTTACAGGCATCCACCTAATTGAAATGCACTGTGTTATGTTGGTCTTTCAGACCAAATCTATCTGAGAACGTATTCTAATTAAGGTCGAACAATGGCTATGAGTTTAGGCACATGAAATGTGTGTGTGTGTGTGTGTGTGTGTGTGACAATGATCCAACAGAAAGAGCATCAGTAAGCTACGGTTGGGAATTGGGATTTTTCCATTCATTTAGCTTAACTGCTTAGTACCCAATTATACAGAATAGAAGAAAGGAAAACACAGTTGCGAGCGCGCGCATACACAAATCAAATATACAAAATCTTCTGTGTAGTTGGAAAACCAAGAAACCAAAATAAAATGAGGACCTTACCACTTCGAGAAGCAGACGTCTTAACTGACGTTTCTGAATCCCGGTGAGCTTCCGAGACACTATGTCACTGATCGCTGACAAAACCCCACTGTAGTTGCCAGTTGGAATAAGAAAAGAAGGTATCACCAAAAATTCCCAATTAACAGCATTTGATGGCTAGGACCTCAGAGTAACTAAATTATCACAAGCACAGGTCATAATTGAGTTTAAAAGATAATATCTTTGAAAACCCAGATGAGAAACAACCTAAACTTTCAGAAATTCTTTTCTTTTTTGGCTTCCTCTTCTGGAACTAAGCAGGGGTTTAAACGGAAAACAGAGGAAATCAAGGTAAACCCTTTACAAAATTGGACTGAACCAAACAACCCAAGTGAGATTAACAGAGACATGGGATTTGACCTTAGTTCTGAGACGATGATGCTGAAGCAAGTACTGCTGCAACCCCTTCTTTTCAATCGAACCCATGCTTTCCTTGTTACAACAAAGTCTTCCAATGGCAATTCTTGAGAGGAACTAAAACTGTTTGCGCTTTTCAGTTTATAGTTTGGATTGAAATATCTGAGGCATTTAACTGTTAAACTCAAGACTGCGAGTCAGAGACGTTTGTATTGTAATTTCTAATTTGTATGGTCCTGCATTGAAACCTTCCCCCAAGCTTAATGTAGATTGATGCTTTGTTTTGAATTTCATATGCAGAGTAGGAGTAGAGAGACTATGGGTCGTGTCATGTTAGTATCATATGGTTTAGGGTTTACATGTCAAGAATGCTCAAATTTGATCCATTTAACAAACGTGTCGTGTTGGGTTGACTCATTCATTTTTCGTGTGGGTTTCGAGTCATATATCGGATTGGCCCGCTAAGTAATAACATCTAGTAACTAGTGAGGTAAAAATGTAAAACAAAAAAAAGTACATAAAGAGATGACTATTCAAAGAATTTTGATAATTTAATCAAGTAATTGTATTTATTTTTTTACAAATTTATAAATAAACCCAATGCTAGACATGTATTTATAAAAAAACCCAAGCACTATTTAAACATAGAAACACACCCAAAATCAACTCCAAAGTCAACTTTTTGGGTGTGTTTATAAATGAGTTTTGAGTGTGTGTAATGATAGGTTTTGGGTGTGTTTATATGTTTAAATAGTACTTGGGTTTTTTTATAATTTCAACCCCCATTTTGGGTGTTTTAGTGAAACTCCCTTATTTTTTTTGGTACAGGTTTCGAGTCATGTCGGAAATTACCACCTCTAAAAGCATCTCCAACCGATGTGTCAAATGTGCCACATAGACATTTAACAGCTAGAAATAACATCTCACATCACTCCAACCGATGTGTCGAAGCTAACGTGAAATGAAGACTGGAGGTTGAGATGTTATTTTTGACATCCGAAAGCAAGATGTCAAATGAATATTTTATATTTTTTTTCTTTTCTTTTTAATTACAAATGAATTAACACTAAAATGTAATAAAATAATAATTTAATTTGACATATCAGGTGGAATGTAAAGCTGCATAAGATGTCAAATTGTCACATCAACCATCAAATTTAAAATTGATGTTTGATATTTGACATCTCCCTTAGAGATGCTCTAAGAGATGCATACAACTTACAACAAGACATCATATATATATATACACACATACCAAATATCACCTACTTTACTTCCCACTCACTCTACAGTCACCTAATATTAGAACGAAGATATTCATTCCTTTTATGTTGCTTAAATTCTGAACATTTAAATTAATTATAGATACAATATAATGTAATATTAATGTAGACTTGGCAAATTACCATTGGTACTGGTCGGAATGTCAGTCTATCAGCAATTGGGTGGGTGAGGATAGCTTTACAAAACTTTTGAAGCATATGGAATTGTGGGTAGGAGTGTACGAAATCCTTATAAGTTGTTTACTAAAAGGTTAAATACTTTTTTGGTCACTGAGTTTTACATGAAAATTCAATTTGTTCACTCAGTAAAAAAATTTAGCCAAATTGATCACCGTGTTTTCCAATATTTATAATTAATAGATTTTTTGTTATCTTCAATTAAGTGCAGTTTTTTTTTTTAGGAAGGAGAAAAAAGGGGGGAGATGAGGTCAAGGGGAAGGAAGGGGGGAATAGGGGTGGAGACTCATCCTCTTAGATGGCCAGCAGTGCTGATAACCCTAGAGAGAAAAGAGAGGGGGGCATGGAGAGAAAAGGGTATCGTACGTACGCGAGTCGTGATCATGTAAAACTCAATATTCAATCATCATATACCATCCTAAAGGACGGTGTGTAGGAAGCAAAAACATACACTCATTTGCTAATTAGTGTCCATTAAACGTAAAAGATAACTAGAAAGTCACTAAAATATTTCAACTCCATGCATTTCTTTCAGTAGTCCCATCCAGCAGATTACCATGCATTCTGAGGTCACCTATGAAGATAACTTGAGCTCCCCAAACAATCCACTCAAATGATCATTGCCACTGTAGATCACGTGAAGATATCCATCGTTATCCTTATTTTCCTCATCGATTGCAGACATCAAGACACCTGTAAGAGCAAGTCCAGCAGCACAGCCCAGCCCGAGGGGAGGGGGGAAAAAAACAAAAATCCGTTTCCAGCCATGCAGCCCAGGCCCGGGGGGGGTGCGGGA